ATGGCTGATGTGGTGGCTGTGGCAGTGGAAGGACAGCTGGCAGAGCATCCCTGTTAATGTGTCTTCATATGGACACTTTGGCTTCAGCGAGCTTCATCGGGACAGCCAGGCGGGCGGGAGGCAGGAGGAGCGGATGGATGGATGGGTGGGTGGGAGGGTGGTTGGATGCAGTGCTGGGTGGCAGGGTGCTGCTGCTGCTGTGACGCCCAGGGGCGCCGCCGAGCTCCACAAAGAGGGGAGGAAAGGGAAAACAGATGTCGACAATCCGGTCTCTTTTCCCCTTCTCCCCGTCTCCCCTTCTCCCTGGTTAGTAAAAGGAAGGAAGTAAAATGCAAAAACACAGGAAACTTATTGGAATTTGGGGATAATATGTCTATGCCAAAAAAGACTAGTATGTTATGGATTTTTCAAAGCTCGATCGACGTGGAGCATTTCAATTGCTCTGTCTCAAAAAGTCTTTCCTGGAGTGAAAAATATGCGTCGTTTAGAAAATGACGTCCAATGTTGGATAAATCTTCAGCTGGGCCACTAGAACAATATGAGGTTCAGGCCACCCATCCATCCACATCACTCGCGAATTGTGATACGTTTGTTAGACCACATTAAGCCTTTATTTAGAAATCTACTCCATGTAAGCATTATAAACGCTGAAATAATAGATTAACTTAAGCCCCTTCTGAAAATGGGAAACTAGGGTTTCTCTGCCCGGTATGCACTGACTTCAATGAATTATCAAACAATAAAGAGCTTGAAAACACCCTTTTCTCTATAACAATCCCATTTAAATGAGTATTGACTTTATCTGCACCTGGAACTAAACGTACTTAATTGATACTTTAAGTGATTAGAAAAAAGACAAAGAGGCAAAACTGATTTACTTCATATGTTTTATTTTTGCAACAGTCCGACCGGGTGGAGAGAGGTGTACAGTTATTGAGGAGGTGAGTAAAATCCTCTCGTAGAATCAGATACCAGCAAATGAGAAAACATAACATCCACTTTCCTCTGCAGGTTATAATTGTAAATAAAACCCAGAAACACAACACTGCCTTCTACTGGGAGCTGAGTGAATGACCAGCGTGGACACCACATTGTCACTGTATACAGTACAACGTTTTTACATGTCGGGGCATCACACACCATCAGTTGTATTTATCAACATGTAACACTAAAATTAGTCTTGGACAAACTCAAAATTGGTACTTTGGTATTTCACCTCCACATTACACATTCATATGTGTCTCCTCTGCACAGATATTATAATGCAAATGTACAATATTCCTAAATATTCCCTCCAATCATGTAGGAAAGAATGAATTTTACACATAGCATCATATTCATGTGGGTATCTATTATTAATACAGCAGCATCTCATTCTTTAAGCTGTAAAGTGTTTGTTTTGTAAATACCCGGAGTGAAAGGGCATGCAGGTGAAGCTGACACATGGTCTCTGTCTTAAAATAGGAAAACGAATGACAAACACATGAGTTCTTAGCCATTGTTGTAGTAAATCTGTGATTCACAACATTTCAAATGTGCACACACTGTTTCATCTGGTTCTAATCTAGTTCATCTGCAAACTTTTTAGCTCTTGCTGACAATAGGTTTGTGCCATTCAGCTGAACATACAAACATAACACAGACATAAATTAGACAATTTAGCAGGTGAAACGGGGGGCAGTGCTTCACCTTTTCTACCGTGTCCATACAATCCTATACAGTCAGCAGTTATAAAAGAAATGAAGCCAAATAAATTACATTGATGCAAGAATACACAATTTTAGGAGTTGGCCAAAATAGCATCGCTATCTTATAATCTTCCGGTGTCACGTACGTTAGCCATCTTAGTGATAGCGACTCCTGCCTCCTGGTTTGGCGGGGGACGCAGTAATGTCGCGGTGTTAGCCCGGGCTGAATTCTGACCCTCTCCCAGAGCTGTACTCTACTCAGGCTAAGTCAATCCCTGACGGTGGGGGTAAGCGACGAGGGTGCATTTATCCTTTTGTTTCTCCTACTTTGTCCTCAGTCTTATATACAAACAAAGTATCATAGATGGACCATTGATATACTACAGTGACAAGTCCTCTTTGTCCTCTTGACCTTACCGAATCCATTTGATTCCGATTCAAAAAGGTGCCTCACTGAATTTGTTGCTTCTCTGTTTACAGGCAAGGCACTTACATTAATTAAAAAATGTGTGTAATTCAACCAGATAACTGCCTTGAGGCTCAAGGGCAGGGGCGCCGGCCCAGTTGGCCCCCAAAAATGTCTGTCCCTGACCCGCATGCCGAACAAGAGCAGATAAAAAACAACTTGTCAAACGCCATATGCAAGCGTTAATGCTTGAACGTGGCAAGAATTAACGCTACTGAGCAGAAATCTAACACACATTGAACCCTTTCAAGGAGTTCCCTTTGTGTTTGACAAAGTCCAGTTTGTTAGTTAGTTTGTCGTTAGCCGCTTTCGTTCATTGGGATTGACTTATGCCCGTTGTGTGGCTCAGCACATGCATATTTTAAATGCTCAGTTCAACAGTTATTCTTGTAGCCACGCCAAGTCGCCAATAATATACGGCAGCGAGGAAAACTGTTCGTAATTAGCTAACATTTTATGCTAGCTTTTTGAACTGTACTCTGTTAATGTAATTTAAAAAATAAACTGTTTCAATCCAATAAGTTAATATCTTACCTGAATCACAGTGTGCTTCACGCTTATGGTTTTTTTTTCATCCAAATGAAATGGTTAAATTAAGCAAACAGCTTGTCTAGTGGTTGGAACTGTTTAGTTTGCGCTAGCTATCAGTTCTATTTAGCGTCCAAACCCTCAAGCTCAGGTTAGCTGACTTTTTCTTGTAGTAGCTCGAGTGGTTGTAACTCGGGTTCTGGTCTCCCTGCTGTCCATTGCAAACCATTGGCTCTTCTTCCGCTGATCAAGTGTAGACAGCCCCCCCTCCCCCCTTTCTCCCCTGTTCCTCACCTCCTGGCCTGGTGTACCTTACCCCCGCTCGACAACCCAAACGTCCTTCCGTATCTCCGGCTGAATCGCATTCCTCTAGTCGGCCGCCACAATGGGAGACCTGTTTAGATGATGGCTCTGCTCTGGTCCAGGTATTCCCCTCTGATTAGGAACCTGAGCTTCACAGACCCCCCTGTTATTATCCGCCCCACCCCCCAACAAACCTCAGTGCAGCGCACAAGTTATCTTGAACCACATGTTTGTTGATGTCCGACTTGATGGGATGTCGCTGTTTTGGATCGAGTCCCGCTGCTCTTGGGGGGTGGGGGTGAAGGGATCTCGTGCCTCGTTTGAGTTGAACATTTTTAACCACAAATTATCTCAGAAAAGCCTCGCAATCCTAAATCATCCCGTGGTTAGCTGCATTTACCGGCGAGATTCTGTGTAGGGGAAACACTGCTGACTGTTTCTCATCATCCATTGTTAACACACCTTTTATAAGGAAGAGATATACTGCACATCAACGAGTGCAGGCTGGTTAATACGTCCCATTAAGTATATTTCTATGTTGGATGAATTGGAAACTACGTAGATGTTCTTTACATTTTTAAGGTATCAGTGTTATACAAATATGAACATTGTGAATAATAGAGTAAAAATATGTTTTAAATTTTTTAAACTTGCTGTTTACCCAATATAATTGGCTCCTTTTTAACACATGTTGTCTTCACTGTATGACCTACTTAAAGTCCTGACATTCAAAATATGAATACACATATTCATAATATTGATACACATACATGTTTGGAATCAAAGAAAATTTAAACCCTGAGAAATATATTTATTGAAGATGTATTTTGATGTGTTGTGCGTTATTTTATTTGCCTCTTCCCAATATGCACGCTAATGTGACGTTGTTAAATTAAAGTGGTTAAAAGATGATGAGAAACAAAAAGTGCTCAAATGTATTACATTTCCAAACAATTTGCATGCAAAATGATACCAGCAGTGCATTGTTACCTATAATTACTTAACTCTTAATTAATATGTTCACTTTCTTAATAATTGTACTTTACAACATCTCAGGAGCAAATATTGCAAAACACATTTCAGTACAAATATAAAGAGATAAAAAAGTTCAAGCTAAAAGTAATATGAATGAATATTGAATAATTAACGCTTCAGTGTTTTCTCTAAAGTACATATTTATTTATTAACTGTTTTCCGTAACATCTGGAACAACATTCAATTATTAGTGAACGTTAGATAAACTGACTACTTATTTAGTGTGTAGCAGAAATTACATCTTTTAAAGGGCATTAGATTAAATTGGATATAGATGTATTGTCCTTTGTCATGTACTCTCCTTATTAATGACTTTAACCTGCCATAAGTAAACAATCTGTGATGGTTACAAGGTTCTCCACCAGTGTTTAAACCAGCTCCATCTCCATCAGCAGGCTATTATCATTATGGTTACGTCAGACTGAGGACTGCTCTTTTGCTTTTAAAGAGGTCTGTGAGGTAGGTTTGGAAAGCAAACTTACGGGTGGAGCGGTAGGTGGGTGGTGTTTCTCAGCTTCCACCGGGTCCTTGAGTCTGGAGGAATTTATGCCAAAACACACAAGTTTGTCTGCTGAAGAAGGGATGGAGGAGTTTGAGGGAAAACCAAACATCGCATGATAGTGTACTAAGCAGCTCCCCACCCTCTCTACCTGCCTCCATTAAAGTGACCATAACGCAAAGCAGGAGAAGTTGTTGCGAGTCAGTTCAGTTTAGACCGGGCTGCCTCCTCTTCTTCTTCTGCTCCTGGTGACGATGATGATGAAGAACCAGTCCTAATGATACCCTCGGAGGGGGGGGAAAGAAGGGAGAACCAACCCGAGGCGAACTGTGATGTGGAAAAAAGGCTCATCATTCTGCTCCGCTGTGTGCGCCTGTGTGTGTGTGTGTGTGTGTGTGCGTGTGCGTGTGTGTGTGCGTGAGGGGGTGTGTGTTCTCCCTCTCTGAGCAGATGACTGCCGCTCACCTTGCCACGGGGTCTGAATGAGATTGGTTCATTGTCAAGGAGCTTTTTTTTCTTTTTTTTCTTTCTCATTACCCATGATGCCTCGTGGTGCGGCGCGGGCTACATGTTGCCCAACATGCCAGTGCAAATGTTTTCTCAATTAGGCGTCTTATCTGCGGTGCGCGCGCTCGCATCAGATGAAGCTCGCTGACGGCGCGATGGCAGCAAAAAGCTCCGAAGGCTCCATCAAATGGCAGCTCTGCTACGACATCTCCGCCAGGACCTGGTGGATGGTGAGTTGGCACGAACATCTCGACCTTTCTTTTTTCCTTCTCTTTCTCGCTTTCTTCACCCTTTTTCTTCACATTGTCGCCTCCTCTTCCTCCTTCTTCTCGGGGCTCCACACAGCAGCTTTTTGGCGTGTTATTGATTTTTTTTCTGGGAGCCGTTCGGGTTGTTTGTTGTTTTCTTTTTAATTTTTTTTTAACTATCTGTCGGTTGCTCCGTCGCCCCCTCTCCTCCCCCCTCTCCCTCCCTCCCCCCGCGCTCGCTGTGCTCCTCTCTGCCGTCCCGTCCCGTTGGCGGACGGGTGCCAGCCGTGGACCGGCGCGGGGGGAAGTGTGTGCGTGTGTGTGTGTGTGTGTGTGTGTCCTCCTTCTCCTCCTCATCCATCTGATTAAAGAGGGAAACTTCTTCTGGAGCGCCGACTCATCGCACCGGGCAGCAGACCCCCCCCCCCCCGTTACTCCCGCACGCTCGCTCGCTCCCCGGTCCGCGGGGTGGTC